CCACATGCGCCGAAAAAAGGGGATCACAATATCTTATTCACACAAACATTGCAGTCGTTTCGAAAGGATTTGGATACGCTCCGAGTTAGGTTTCCCAAGGAAGGGTGGGACTTGTTCATCGGGATGGATGCTAACGTTGAGCTTCTGCCTCACACGGTATTTGGAGATGTTGCTTTGACTGGTTCTGCAGTGCAGGGTGAGAGATTTGAAGAAGGGGACAATGCAGGAGGAGGTGGACGTGGAGGTTTCCAGCAGGGTAGGAGGAGGATGCAACAATACATGTGTGACGAGCTCTGTGAATGTATGTGGCATTATGATTTGGTTTTCTCGAATTCTTTTGGGACCCGTCGTACGACCTGGAAGGCCAGGGAGGAGACGGAGGAGGAGGACAAGGTTCTTGATTACCTGTGTATTCCGAGCTCCTGGGAAAGGCCTCAGTGGGAGGTGTCGTGGTTAAGGCCAACACTCAGGGGCTCCGTGGACCCCAGAAAGACCCGCCTGTCGGACCATGCCCTGCTCACCTTGCTTGTCCCCGAATCGGCCGCTCCGACTCGACGTTGGAGAACGAAGCCACGACAAACGTTCACTCATTGGTGCTGCGACGAAGCCTCGGAATTGCAAGTTTCGGCTAACCTTGATCGTCGTTTGCATGCTGCAGCTCGTTACCCATCTGGTCTCTGCCCGGATGAATTGGCTCCTGTTATCTTGAATGCATGTACACAGGACAAGGAGTCATACACCAATGTCCCAAAGAAAATGCAGATCCCCAAAAAGACAGATCGTCATAAGGAACTTGATGATGAATATCGCCGACTGCGTCGTGAAGGAGGGGAGGAGGAGGAGCTCATCAGGGTTAAGAAAGAGAGAAGGAAGGAGATGCGTGCACACACTCGTCGTCGACTCGAATACGATCATCGTGACGGGAAGCTCGCTCGGACGGTGGTGGACAAATTGAGTTATGACGATGTGCTCACGGAGGATAGGGAGTTGTGGGAGAAGGCGCTCTATGCTCACGGGTTCGCCAAGTACCACTGTGCTGCGCAAGGGATACGTAACGTGGAGTGTATCGAGGAGAGGAGGAGGAGGAGGTTGCAGGACACGAACACAGTGGACGTCTCCCCCATTTCCATGTCCGTATTGTTACAGGCACGATCACGCTTAAAGTGTGGTAAGGCGGTGGGTAAGGACGGAGTTTCTCCTTCTATGTTGAAACGTATCACGTGGGTAGGTTTGCGTCATATTCTTCGGTTATTCCAAGACCTGTATCTTCAACGGTATCCTACTCCTCGGATTTGGTCTGAGTTGCTTGTGGTGTTGATGCCGAAAGCTAAAGATATCACTAAGTTGTCTGATACTCGTGCTCTCGTCTTACTTAGCAGCCTAAGCAAATGGTATACTTCATGTTTGGTTGAGATTGCTGAAGGTTATCTGAAAAGGGTCCCACAATATCTACATAACTACGGATTTTGCAAGGGAAGGCGCACGCACGAGATCACTGCCATGCTTAAGCATGCCACCACACACGCTCTGGAGTGGGGGAAAGATGAGACCCTGCACCTCGCGTCATTAGATGTGCAGACTGCCTTTGATAACGTCACGGTTGAGAAGGCCAGTCGGGCCTTGGATGCCATCCCTGGGTTCCCCAATGACCTTGCGTTGGCGCTACTCGCTCCCAGTATCCTGGACACAGCGGACTTTACCTTTCAGGACTCCACGGCGACGGGTATTCCCTGGGATGCATGTGTACGTACTGGTAGTGTGGAGGCCCCCTTCCTGTGGAAGTGTGTGACACTACTGATGTGGGATAGGATTGTACTGAATTGGGAGGAGGAGAAGTTGGGGTACGATTTGGGGGTGGAGGCTGGTGGGAGGTATCTTACTCATGCGCTCTGGGCCGATAACATTTTGCTTTTCTCGAAATCAAAGACTGAGCTCACACGTATGGTGGGGGACTTCTCGGCTCAGCTGTATACGCACGGTTTCAGATGGAAAGATTCCTCACTACACTATCTTGCCTTTGGGGAGGACTCTGAAGGCGCCTCGACGGGGAACCTCGTTGTCCAGGTGAACGATCTCGGTACCCTGTGTCTTCCGCGATGCTCTGAAATGGAGTGCCTGGGTTGCCTGGTCACGACCAAGACTGACAAACACCATGATGTGGCTTGGAAATTGGCTCGGGGTTGGAAGCGATTTAACCAGTTCCGCAAGTTTTATACGAATCGTGCTGTACCCTTCCAGAAGAAAATCAAGCATTATGAATCTAGGTTGCGTAGTTTTGTACTTTTCGGTGTTGAAGGCATGCCAGCGGACCACCACACTTTGAAACAGTTGCACACGTGGGAAGGTAAAATATTGTGTTCTATGGTACGCCGCCCGAAACCTGCCGACATGGATTGGAGTATATACTTATGCAACTTGTACAAACGTGGGCGGCGTATGCTCCTGGAATTGGGACGGCCGTCTCTTGTGCAGCTATTCTTGTTTCGTCAGTGGCAGTGGGCTCAGGACTGTACGTTTACTGTGAAACGCCTGAACCCAACACCCGCACAGATTCCTCCAGGTACTTTTGATTCTTCAGGCAAGCCTGGCCCCAACGTCTTTGCTGCGTGTGAGCCACCGCCGGCCAAGAGACAACGTCAGGATGAACCCATGTATGTGCTACCAAGTATTGCGTGCTCGACATCAATGGGATGTCATCCTGACGTGTGTGAGACGATGCATGCTGTTGATTCCTTTGAGCTCCCTGGTTCTCAGACACAATTACCCGCGCATCGGCGCAATCTGATTTCCCAGATGCATAAGCGTGCAAAGACATTCCATCCATCTCAGGATTCTCTGTCGCAAAAGCGTTCCTCTGTTGAGTTGCCGTCGCAGGAAATCGCTGCAAACAAGCGGCGACGGGTGGCTCCACCTCAGCATCGTAGTACAGGGGACTCGCATATGCAGGCTAGAGAATGTATTTTTGCATGGTCGGGGGAGTGGACTGACCGACGGCAGGCCTTCATTGCATCGCTGCCTTGGAAAGAACGCCCATTAATGACGCGTCGGCATGAGGGGGGGAGACCACTGGCGTTGAGAAACTTCCATTACATTTTCGAGTTGGTATCAGGGAAGGATTGGTATCACACGTTATCCTTTTCACGTCAGGGATGGAAAGAATTTCTGAAGCGGGCACTGGATGTTACTAACATGGAGGAGGCGTGGGGGTACTGTTACTTTAAACATGCACAACCTGCGGGATATGCTAGGGAGGAGGAGGAGAGGGAGAAGACGGAGGAGCAGCAAAGGAAGGAGGACGAGAAGATGGAGAAACGACTTGCGTACATTAATGAACATGCATCGGAGTGGAATGCGGAGCCTCGGGACTCGATACCGATGGAATTGATTGGGGACTCCGCCACAGGGGTGAATTGGATTAACGGTCTCTGGGCAACATCCAATATTATCTACAAGCACATTCTTGGCGACATTCAAAATAGGCTGGAGCATATCTCTGTGTTGTATGGTATGAGGCCTCCGAGTTGGGGCCACAATATGTTCAAGTGGATCTATCGAGAAGGAAACGAAAGAGCTGACAGGCTGACATGGTTGGCCAGAACCAAAAATAGTTACGTTACGTTCCATACCTCACTTATTGAACATGCGAGTAAAACAAAACTAGACGGCCTCCGTGGATTCTTCGACGGAGGTCGCTCTGTGGAGGGATGTGCTGCAGGATGGTGTATAGATTTGTGTGTACACGGGACGTGGCAGTTGGTGGCGGAGGAAGCTGTCTCGCTTGATGCCTCTGCTTCTGTCATGTTTTGTGAGATGATTGCAGCACAACGGCTCTGTATGGCCGTGGAGCACATTTTGGGTAGCATCTTTCATCCAAGCAGCTGACTCATTTCATCTTGCTTGGAGCTCTCCAACACCTTTACATTTTCACATGTTGTATTGCATCCTTTTCCTTGTTCCTGCATCCTATTCCGTTGCCTATGCCTCAGTGGCTCGGCAGTGTGATGATAAGAGTTGCCCTCTCCAGCTACCCTGTGCTCCGTTTGGGAGTCTTAGGGCTCAGCTGTCACAGCTGTCCGCGCCCTGACTCAAACTCAAAAACCAGGTTGGCGGTTTACCGCCGGCGCCCAGTTTTGATGACTTTTGCTCGGTTGAAAATTTTGTTCTCGAAATTTGACCATTCGTTAGAGCTCTAGTATTTTTTCCCGTGATGTTCGATCTTATTACCGCTCGCCATCTTGATCTCAGCTCGATCGGGTGAATATTACTGGCAAAAAGCACTCTGGCGGGATCGTCCGTTTGGAGTAATCTTGATACGCGCTGACGGTTTTCTGAACATAACTCGAGCTTCAGGCCAGCTACAGAGCTGGTAAGCACACCTATTGCATTCAGAATGATCAGGCGCGTTCGTCTGTTGAATCCAGAGGTCTGAACTCGGTCTGCTAGCCGAGCTAGGTCTGCAAACCTATTCGTATTGTTCAAGTCATCTTGACAGGAACTCTCTGTTTTTTTTGCACTTAAGTCGAGCTGTAGGACAGCTACATAGCTGATGTTTACAGAAACCGATTCAGAATCATCAGTTGCGTTTGTCTGTCGAATTCAGAGCTCTGAACTCGGTCTGCTGCCCGATCTAGAATCGCGAAACTATTCGTATTGGTCGAACCATCTTGAGAAGTGCTCTCGGTTCCCTCCATTCAACTCGCGCTGAGGGGAGCTACAATGCTGGTGGTCAGAGGAATCGATTTGAAGACATCAGACGCGTCCGCCTGTCGAATCGAAAGTATTGTATTGTTCGAGTCATCCTGAGAGGTGCTGTCAGTTTTCTGCACTCAACTCGGGCTGTAGGGGGGCTGCAGGGCTGGTAATGACAGGAGTCGACTCGCAGACATCAGTCGCGTCCGCCTTCGCATTGAGAGGTCACAAACTATTCACTATGAGTCGGAATGTTGGTAGGTGCTCGGGGTTCTGAACTTCAGTCGAGCTGGAAGCTCTACGAGTCTCCCGGCTCAAGAAATCTCGGCTCAAGGCGCTTGACATTTGATCCCCTCTGCCTGGGTAACCTCCAGTGGGATCGAGTGCGCGTCAGGGAGTCACACGTTTGTCGCCTAGAGTGATATTGCACTGCCATTCATCTGACACGTTTGATCGCCTTGAGTGGTCTTCAATTGATTTGTTTCACACGATTGTCGCCTAGAGTGATATTGTGCTGCCATTCATTTGACACGTTTGATCGCCTTGAGTTGTCCTCAATTGATTTGTTTTGCTGGGTGCTTCCGAGGCAGTCTCTGCCATCATTCGTTATGCCACACGTGCGGAGTGCAAGTGCTCGCATTATGCGTCGGGCGCTGGCTGTTCAAAACGGATACTGTGTGCATCTACCTATTCGCTTGCCTCTGGATGGTTTGGTGCCACCTACGTGTCTCCCACCACCAGGGCTGGAGCGGGCGACTGCCGATTTGGTTCTAGATTATTTCTTGTTGCGCGATCCACCTGTTGTTAAACGCAGTTTGGAGGAGGAGGAGGAGGAGGAGGAGGCTGACATTAAGACTGTTTCGGAGAATCTTTCTTGCCGTATGCAGGCTTCTGAATCGCTGGTTGATGTAGGTATTGGAGTGCAGGCTTCTGAATCGCTGGTTGATGTTGGAGTGCAGACGGTTGATGTTGCGGACTTTCAATGTGAAGTCGGCTGTCAGACAGATAGTGTCGTTGGGATGGAGGGAGGAGCTTCAGGAGTTCTTCTTGGGAAAGTGACTGTGGCGGCGGAGGAGGAGCTGGAGGCACCCTCGAGTGCGGAGTCTTCTCCGAACGTGCAGTCTGATTCTGATAGCCGCGCCTTGTCAGGAGCGTCCCAGGGGTGTCTGAATCGTCCCGTCACGCTCAATGAGGTATCGAAGGAGTCGCGCCAGAGGACTCGAGGGAGAGATCGTGACAAGGTCAAGGGGACATCGACGTGCTCTCAGGCCACCATTGCCGATGTCAAAGCGTGGATTGACGCTGTTGCCAGCATCAACGAGTTGAATGCGATCCAGTATTTAAAGAGCGGAATGGATTTGTTTGATAAGCTGGTGACAGAACAAGGGTTCCCTACAAAGAAGGCCCAAAAAGATTATGCTCGGAAACTGTATGAGATGCTCCAGAATGTGCAAGCGACGCTGGAGGATCTTCTAGGATTCTTCGAGGTGCACAGGTTCTTGACAGGACAAATGAACCGCGCCGAGATGGCCAAGTTTCTTGAGGTTTCCAAGTGCAGCGATTACCGAATAATATTCTTCGGACGCCCGAGGAGTTTCGACAAGTTGGGATGAAGCTATTCGTGCGCACTTGTATGCAACTTTCGGTTTAGAACAGCGAAGGCTGTAATGCTTGTATCTCACCTGTTCTTGTTTTCCTCACTTTATCTCTCTGTTTGACCTCTCGCTGGAGCCATGATGGCTCTACGGCCCGCTGTGGGCCCCACTAAGCGCTTCAGGTGTGTAAAGGGCAGGAGCCCCTCATATTCTTCAGGTGACGTTCTTCCACGGGTTGTTTCCCCGTCTAATTCGTTGATTACTTCACATGTGACGTTGAGCATACGCCTCTTGTCATACGGCGGGTTGAACATGCGTATTTCGGACTGGTTTGATGTGAATAAGAGTTTGTGCTCACTCACGCCTTGCCTGTTTGGATACGTCCGCTCCTTGCTCCGACTAGGCTGGAAAGCCTGCACAGTCGACCGCAAAGTCCGCAAAAAACCAAGGTTGACGGTTTACCGCCGGCGTCCAGTAATTCCGGCGCGCCCCACAGCTAGTTCCCGGATAGCTCCTTGGAGAGCTGAGGGTTTCAGATAAGAAGCCGGCGGTGGGTGGTCAGGAGCACGCGCCCACCTCCGCCGGTCCACGATTCTCGCAGCGCCCTGCCGGAACCGGCAGCGGGTCCGGGAGCGTGGCTTCCTAGCGTTTCCCAATACGCGTGGCTCCAGGGTGCGCGAAGCGCTTCGGCAGAGCTTCGGAAGAGCTTCGGCAGTTCCCGGATAGCTCCTTGGAGAGCTGAGGGTTTCAGATAAGAAGCCGGCGGTGGATGGTGAGGAGCACACGCCCACCTCCGCCGGTCCACGATTCTCGCAGCGCCCTGCCGGAACCGGCAGCGGGTCCGGGAGCGTGGCTTCCTAGCGTAACTCGTAGAGCTTCTCTTAGCAAGTTATTGCTGGAAGCTAAGAGTAATTCCGGCGCGCCCCAGAGCTAGCTGGTTCGAAAAATCTCGACGGAACTTTTCACAACTTTTGGTCGGTTGAAAATTTTGTTCTCGGAATTTGACAATTCGTTAGAGCTCTAGTATTTTTTCCCGTGATATTCGATCTTATTCCCGCTCGCCATCTTGATCTCAGCTCGATCGGGTGAATATTGCTATCGAAAAGCACTGTGGCGGGATCGGCCGTTTCGAGTTATCTTGATACGCGCTGACGGTTTTCTCAAGATAACTCGAGCTTCAGGGCAGCTACAGAGCTGGTTAGCACAGCTAATAGATCCAGAATGAGAAGGCGCGTTCGCCTGTTGAAGCCAGAGGTCTGAACTCGGTCTGCTAGCCGAGCTAGGTGCGCAAACCTATTCGTGTTATTCGAGTCATCTTGACATGCGCTCTCGGTTTTCTGTACTGAACTCGAGCTGTAGGACAGCTATAGAGCTGATATTTACAGGAACTGATTCAGAATCATCAGTTGCGTTTGTCTGTCGAATTCAGAGCTCTGAACTCGGTTTGCTGGCCGATCTAGAATCACAAAATTATTCGTATTGGTCGAGTCATCTTAAGAAGTGCTATCGGTTTTCTTCACTCAACTCGCGCTGAGGGGTGCTACAGTGCTTTTTGTCACAGGAATCGATTTGAAGAGATCAGGCGTATTCGCCTGTCGAATCCAGAGCTCGGAACTCGGTCTGCTGCCCGAACTAGGTCCGCATAATCATTGTATTGTTCGAGTAATCCTGAGAGGTGCTGTCGGTTTTCCGCACTTAACTCGGGCTGTAGGGGTGGTAATGAGGAGTGGATTCGCAGACATCAGACGTGTCCACCTGTCGCATTCAGAGGTCCAACAATATTCACTATGAGTCGGAATGTTGGTAGGTGCTGTCGGTTGTCTCAACTGAAGTCGAGCTAGGAAGCTCTACGAGTCCCCCGGCGGTAACCAAGGTTGACGGTTTACCGCCGGCGCCCAGTTCCCCAATACGCGTGGCTCCAGGGTGCGCGAAGCGCTTCCGCAGAGCTTCGGAAGAGCTTCGGCAGTTCTTCCAGGCTCCTAGGCAGATCTTCCTTGCGCGCTTTGCAGGGCCCCACGCATCGTAAACGGCGCCCCTGCAAGCGTCTCCTGCGAGGTTTCCAGCGTCCCGCGCATCGTTTCAGGCGGCCTGGCAGAGGTCCCCGTGCGGCGTTCCGCGCTTGGCTTCGCTATCCGGGTTTTGGACGCTTACAAGTTGGCAAGAAAAATATCGACTGAACTTTTGACAACTTTTGCTCGGTTGAAAATTTTGGTTCTCGAAATTTGACAATTCGTTAGAGCTCTAGTATTTTTTTCCCGTGATATTCGATCTTATTCCCGCTCGCCATCTTGATCTCAGCTCGATCGGGTGAATATTACTATCGAAAAGCACTGTGGCGGGATCGGCCGTTTCGAGTCATCTTGATACACGGTGACGGTTTTCTCAAGATAACTCGAGCTTCAGGGCAGCTACAGAGCTGGTCAGCACAGCTTATGGATCCAGAATGATCAGACGCGTTCGCCTGTTGAACCCAGAGGTCTGAACTCGGTCTGATAGCCGAGCTAGGTGCGCAAACCTATTCGTATTATTGGAGTCATCTTGACAGGCGCTCTCGGTTTTCTGTACTTAACTCGAGCTGTAGGACAGCTACAGAGCTCATATTTGCAGGAACTGATTCAGAATCATCAGTTGCGTTTGTTTGTCGAATCCAGAGCTCTCAACTCGATTTGCTGCCCGATCTAGAATCACAAAATTATTCGTATTGGTCGAGTCATCTTGAGAAGTGCAATCGGTCTTCTTCACTTAACTCGCGCTAAGGGGGGCTACAGTGCTTGTTGTCAAAGGAATGGATTTAAAGAGATCAGGCGTGTCCGGCTGCCGAATCCAGATCTCGGAACTCGGTCTGCTGCCCGAACTAGGTCCGCATAATTATTGTATTGTTCGAGTCATCCTGAGAGGTGCTGTCGGTTTTTCGCACTTAACTCGGGCTGTAGGGGTGGTAATGAGGGGTCGATTCGCAGACATCAGACGTCCGCCTGTAGGAATGTTGGCAAAAAAATATTTACTATGAGTTGGAATGTTGGTAGGTGCTGTCGGTTGTCTCAACTGAAGTCGAGCTAGGAAGCTCTACGAGTCCCCCGGCGGTAACCAAGGTTGACGGTTTACCGCCGGCGCCCAGTACCTCGTAGAGCTCTTCGTCGTCGATGAGCTAGAGGAATAACTCGTAGAGCTTCCCTTAGCAAGTAATACCTCGTAGAGCTTTTCGGCATCGATGAGCTAGAGGAATTCCGGCGCGGGGTGGAGCTAGTTGGTCGACCCGGACAGAAAGGACAAAGTAACTTTTGAGTGGTTTTGCAATTTTTTGCAAGATATTTCACAATTCATTTTGAGAAAGCAGATTTTTACTCCGAGCACTGACATATAAACTTTGTTCCCTGAGCAGCTCAGCCCTCTAGAGCCATTTTCAGTACCAGTTCACTTGGAGCAACCGACTTCATCTTGACTCCGAAAAATCTCAACTTGAAGTTTTTGTAGAAAAGCTCCCAGGAGCTCTCGTTGCTGGAAGCTAAGAGTAATTCCGGCGCGCCCCACAGCTAGTTGGCTCGAAAAATCTCGACTGAACTTTTGACAACTTTTGCTCGGTTGAAAATTTTGTTCTCGAAAATTGACAATTCGTTAGAGATTTTTTCCCGTGATATTCGATCTTATTCCCGCTCGCCATCTTGATCTCAGCTCGATCGGGTAAATATTATTATCGAAAAGCACTGTGGCGGGATCGGCCGTTTTGAGTCATCTTGATATGTGCTGACGGTTTTCTGAACATAACTCGAGCTCTAGGGCAGCTACAGAGCTGGTGAGCACAGCTAATGCATGCAGAATGATCAGGCGCGTTCGCCTGTTGAAGCCAGAGGTCTGAACTCGGTCTGCTAGCCGAGCTAGGTCCGCAAAACTATTCGTATTATTTGCGTCATCTTGACAGACGCTCTCGGTTTTCTGCACTTAACTCGAGCTGTAGGACAGCTACAGAGCTGATATTTACAGGCACCAATTCAGAATCATCAGTTGCGTTTGTCTGTCGACTCGAGAGCTCTGAACTCGGCCTGCTGCCCGATCTAGAATCGCGAAACTATTCGTATCGTTCGAGTCGCTTGCGAGATAATGTCGGTTATCTGGACTTAACTCGGGCTGTAGGGGGGCTGCATGGCTGGTAATCACTGGAATCGATTTGAAGACATCAGGCGCGTCCGCCTGTCGAATACAGAGCTCTGAACTCTGTCTGCTGCCCGAACTAAGTCCGCGAAACTATTCCTATTGTTCGAGTCATCCTGAGAGGTGCTGTCGGTTTTCTGCACTTAACTCGGGCTGCAGGGGGGCTGCAGGGCTGGTAATGACAGGAGTCGATTCGCAGACATCAGACGCGTCCGTCTGTCGCATTCAGAGGTCAAAAACTATTCACTATGAGTCAGATTGTTGGTAAGTGCTGTCTGTTTTCTTAACTTAAGTCGAGTTAGGAAGCTCTACGAGTCCCCGGCGGTAACCAAGGTTGACGGTTTACCGCCGGCGCCCAGTTCCGGCGCGGGGTGGAGCTAGTTGGGCCACCCGGCCGAGGCGGACAATGTGACAACTTTTGGGTGGTTTTGCGAATATTTGAAAGATATTTGACAATTCATTTTGAGAACCCAGATTTTTCGCACCTGTAGTGAGTTATGCCGCACTCGCCAGTAAAATTTTCAGGTCTGTAGGTACAGTATTACTATCAAAACACTTGGAGGAACCAACGTTGGCTGAAAACAGAAAAACGTGATTTTTCGATTTTTTCGTTTCTCGCTCCATAAGCTCTCTTGATATATTACGAGAAGCGCGGTGTTAGAAAAGAGCTCTACGAGGGTCCCGGCGGTAATCTGGTTGACGGTTTACCGCCGGTTCCCATTCCGAAGCGCTGGAGAGCTAGTTGGCTCGAAAAAAAAGAACTAAACTTTTCACAACTTTTGCTCGGTTGAAAATTTTGTTCTCAAAATTTGACAATTCGTTTGAGCTCTAGTATTTTTTCCCGTGATATTCGATCATTCCCGCTCGCCATCTTGATCTCAGCTCGATCGGGTACCTTTTGCTGCCAAAAAGCACACTCGCGGGATCGGCCGTTTTGAGTCATCTTGTCACGCGCTGTCGGTATTTTGTACTTAACTCGAGCTGTAGGGCAGCTACAGAGCTGGTAAGCACACCTATCTCATTCAGAATCATCAGGCGCGTTCGCCTGTTGAATCTAGAGGTCTGAATTCGGTCTGCTAGCCGAGCTAGGTCCGCAAACCTATTCGTATTATTCGAGTCATCTTGACAGACGCTCGCGGTTTTCTGTACTTAACGCGAGCTGTAGGGCGGCTAGAGAGCTTATAGTCACAGAAATCGATCGGGAATCATCAGGCGCGTTCGTCTGTTGATTCGAGAGCTCTAAAATCGGCCTGCTGCTCGAGCTAGGTTCGCAAACCTATTCGTATTGTCCGAATCATCTTGAAAAGTGCTTTAATTTTCTGCACTCAACTCGTGCTGGGGGGGGCTACAGTGCTGCGGGTCACACAAATCGATTTGCACAGATCAGCCGCGTCCGCCGGTCGATTCTAGACTCGGTCTGCTGCTCGATTTAGATCTGCGAAACTATTGTATTATTCGAGTCATCCTGAGAGATGTTGTCAGTTTTCTCCACTTAACTCGGTCTTCAGCGGGGCTGCAGGGCTGTTAATCACATGGGTATATTTGCAGACATGAGACGCGTCCGCCTAGTGCATTCAGAGGTCTGAATTCGGTTTGATACTCGAACTGGATTGCGACACTTTTTGTTTGTTCTTAGAGTCATCTTGAGAGGTCTGAAATCGCTTGGGCTGAAAGAACTAGTCGTTCTCTGGAGTTTTTTTCCACACTATATGCTGTCAGGAAGCTCTACGAGTCCCCCGGCGGTAACAAAGGTTGACGGTTTACCGCCGGCGCCCAGTTCCGGCGCGGGGCGGAGCTAGTAACTCGTAGAGCTTCCCTTAGCAAGTTATTGCTGGAAGCTTAAGAGTAATTCCGGAGCGCTGGAGAGCTAGTTAGCAAGGAAAATCTCGACGGACCTTTTGGTGACTTTTGGTCGTTTGAACATTTTGTTCTCGAAATTCAACAATTCGTTTGAGCTCTAGTATTTTTTCCCGTGATATTCGATCTTATTCGCGCTCGCCATCTTGATCTCAGCTCGATCGGGTACATTTTACTGCCAAAAAGCGTCCCGGCGGAAACGGCCGTTTCGAGTCATCTTGATACGCGTTGTCGGTATTTTGTTCTCAACTCGAGCTGTAGGGCAGCTACAGAGCTGGTAAGCACATCTATCGCATTCAGAATTATCAGGCGCGTTCGCCCGTTGAATCCAGGGGTCTCAACTCGGTCTGCTAGCCGAGCTAGGTCCGCAAACCTATTCGTATTATTCGAGTCGTCTTGACAGACGCTCTCGGTTTTCTGTACTTAACTCGAGCTGTAAGGCAGCTACAGAGCTGGTAAGCACGCCTATCGCATTCAGAATTATCAGGCGCGTTCGCCTGTTTAATCCAGAGGTCTGAACTTGGTCTGCTAGCCGAGCTAGGTCCGCAAACGTATTCGTAGTATTCGAGTCGTCTTGACAGACGCTCTCGGTTTTCTGTACTTAACTCGAGCTGTAGGGCAGCTACAGGGCTCATTGTCACAGACATCGATAGGGAATCATCAGTCGCGTTCGTCTATTGAACCGAGAGCTCTGAACTCGGCCTGCTGCCCGAGCTAGGTTCGCGAAGCTGTTCGTATTGTCCGAATCATCTTAAGATGTGCTCTCAATTTTCTGCACTCAACTCGTGCTGGGGGAGGGCTACAGTGCTGCGGGTCACATATATCGATTTGCACACATCAGGTGCGTCCGTTGGTCGATTCCAGAGCTCGGAACTCGGTCTGCTGCTCGAACTAGGTCCGCGAAACTATTCTATTATTCGAGTCGATACTGTCGGTTTTTGCACTTAACTCGGGCTGTAGGGGAGCTGCAGGGCCGGGAATTACACGAGTGGATTCACAGACATCAGACGCGCCCGCCTGTCGCATTCAGAGGTCTGAACTCGGTTCGATACTCGAACTGGATTGCGAAACTGTTTGTTCTTTGGTTAGAGTCATCTTGAGAGGTCCGAAATCGCTTGGGCTGAAAAATTAGTTGCTCTTTGAGTTTTTTTCCACGCTATATACTGTCAGGAAGCTCTACGAGTCCCCGGCGGTAAGAAAGGTTGACGGTTTACCGCCGGCGCCCAGTTTCACAACTTTTGGTCGGTTGAAAATTTTGTTCTCGAAATTCAAAAATTCGTTTGTGCTCTAGTATTTTTTCCCGTGATATTCGATCTTATTCCCGCTCGTCATCTTGATCTCAGCTCGATCGGGTATCTTTTACTGCCAAAAAGCACACTGGCGGGATCGGCCGTTTCGAGTCATCTTGATACGCGTTGTCGGTATTTTGTACTTAACTCGAGCTGTAGGACAGCTACAGAGCTGGTAAGCACAGCTAATCGATGTAGAATGATTAGGTGCGTTCGCCTGTTGAATCCAGAGCTCTGAACTCGGTTTGCTAGCCGAGCTAGGTCCGCAAACCTATTCGTATTATTCAAGTCATCTTGATTCGCACTGTCGGTATTCTGAACTTAACTCGAGATATAGGACAGCTACAGAGCTGGTAAGCACGCCTCATCGACTCAGAATCATCAGGCGCGTTCGGCTGTTCCAACCAGAGGTCTGAACTCGGTCTGCTAGCCGAGCCGGGTCCGCAAACCTATTCGTATTATTCGAATCATCTTGATAGACGCTCTCGGTTTCCTGTACTTAACTCGAGCTATAGGACAGCTGCAGGGCTGATAGTTACAGAAACCGATTCAGAATGATCAGTCGCGTTTGTCTGTCGAATCCAGAGCTCTGAACTCGGTCTGCTGCGCGATCCAGAATCACGAAACTGTTCGTAGTCTTCCAGCCATCTTGAGAGCTACTGTCGGCGTTCTGCACTTAACCCGGGCTGTAGGGAGGCTGCAGGGCGGGTAATCACAGGAATCGATTCGGAGACATCAGACGCGTCGTCTGTCGCATTCAGAGGTCTGAACTCGGTCTGATACTCGAGTTGGGCTGAAAAACTATTCGTTCTCTGCAATTCTTATCGATATTATATGTTGTCAGGAAGCTCTACGAGTCCCCCGGCGGTAACAAAGGTTGACGGTTTACCGCCGGTGTCCAGTTGGTCGACCCGGCCAGAAAGGACAAAGTGGTAACTTTTGGGTGATTTTGCAATTTTTTTGAAAGATGTTTGACAATTCATTTTGAGAAAGCAGATTTTTCGCACCTGTAAACAACTATGAGGGCCTCTCTGTCTTAGTATGAGCTCTGTAGACGCACTTTTACTATGAAAACACTTGGAGGAACCATCTTCATGTCGACACGAAAAAAAGTATTTTTCCCTTTTTCGAGAAATGCTTCTAGAAGCTCTCTCTCCCGACTCTGATCACTCTGACGCGTGAAAGGAGCTCTATGAGGTTCCCGGCGGTGACCAGGTTGACGGTTCACCGCCGGCGCCAGTTCCGGGGAGCTGGAGAGCTAGTTGGCAAGAAAAATCTCGACGGACCTTTTGGTGACTTTTGGTCGGTTGAAAATTTTGTTCTCGAAATTCAACAATTCGTTAGAGCTCTAGTATTTTTTCCCATGATATTCGATCTTATTCCCGCTCGCCATCTTGATCTCAGCTCGATCGGGTAACTTTGAAGGCCAAAAAGCAGGCAGGCGGGAACGACCGTTTCGAGTCATCTTGATACGCGCTGTCGGTATTTTGTACTTAACTCGAGCTGTAGGGCAGCTACAGAGCTGGTGAGCACACCTATCGCATTCAGAATCATCAGGCGCGTTCGCCTGTTGAATCCAGAGGTCTGAACTCGATCTGCTAGCCGAGCTAGGTCCGCAAACCTATTTCGTATTATTCGAGTCATCTTGACAGACGCTCTCGGTTTTCTGTACTCAACTCGAGCTCTAGGGCAGCTACAGAGCTGGTAAGCACACTTGTCGCATTCAGAATTATCAGGCGCGTTCGCCTGTCGAATCCAGAGGTCTGAACTCGGTCTGCTAGCCGAGCTAGGTCCGCAAACCTATTCGTATTATTCGAGTCATCTTGACAGACGCTCTCGGTTTTCTGTACTTAACTCGAGCTGTAAGGCAGCTACAGGGCTCATTGTCACAGACATCGATGGGAAATCCTCAGTCGCGTTCGTCTATTGAACCGAGAGCTCTGAACTCGGCCTGCTGCCCGAGCTAGGTTCGCGAAACTATTTGTAGTGTCCGAATCATCTTGAGAAGTGCTCTCAATTTTCTGCACTTAACTCGTGCTGGGGGAGGGCTAGAGTGCTGCGGGTCACAGATATCGATTTGCGCACATCAGGCGCGTCTGTTGGTCGATTCCAGAGCTCGGAACTCGGTCTGCTGCTCGAACTAGGTCCGCAAACCTATTCTATTATTCGAGTCGATACTGTCGGTTTTCTGCACTTAACTCGGGCTGTAGGGGGGCTGCAGGGCTGGGAATCACATGAGTGGATTCGCGGACATCAGACGCGCCCGTCTGTCGCATTCAGAGGTCTGAACTCGGTTCGATACTCGAACTGGGTTGCGAAACTGTTTGTTTGTTTGTTAGAGTCATCTTGAGAGGTCTGAAATCGCTTGGGCTGAAAAACTAGTCGTTCTTTGGAGTTTTTCACCACACTATATACTATGAGGAAGCTCTACGAGTCCCCCGGCGGTAAGAAAGGTTGACGGTTTACCGCCGGCGCCCAGTCGCCGTGCGGCGCTTTGGAGCGCTCTGCGCTCCGCGCCTTGCCTCGCTATCCGGGTTTTGGACGCTTACAAGTTGCTGGAAGCTTAAGAGTAATTCCGGAGCGCTGGAGAGCTAGTTGGCTCGAAAAAAAAAGAACTGAACTTTTCACAACTTTTGGTCGGTTGAAAATTTTGTTCAATTCAGCAATTCGTTTGTGCTCTAGTATTTTTTCCCGTGATATTCGATCTTATTCCCGCTCCTCATCTTGATCTCAGCTCGATCGGGTAACTTTGAAGGCCAAAAAGCACACTGGCGGGATCGGCCGTTTCGATACGCGTTGTCGGTATTTTGTACTTAACTCGAGCTGTAGGACAGCTACAGAGCTGGTAAGCACAGCTAATCGATGTAGAATGATTCGATGCGTTCGCCTGTTGAATCCAGAGCTCTGAACTCGGTTTGCTAGCCGAGCTAGGTCCGCAAACCTATTCGTATTATTCAAGTCATCTTGATTCGCACTGTCGGTATTCTGAACTTAACTCGAGATATAGGACAGCTACAGAGCTGGTAAGCACGCCTCATCGACTCAGAATCATCAGGCGCGTTCGGCTGTTCCAACCAGAGGTCTGAACTCGGTCTGCTAGCCGAGCCAGGTCCGCAAACCTATTCGTATTATTCGAATCATCTTGATAGGCGCTCTCGGTTTCCTGTACTTAACTCGAGCTATAGGACAGCTACAGGGCTGATAGTTACAGAAACCGATTCAGAATCATCAGTCGCGTTTGTCTGTCGAATCCAGAGCTCTGAACTCGGTCTGCTGCGCGATCCAGAATCACGAAACTGTTCGTATTCTTCCAGTCATCTTGAGAGCTACTGTCGGCGTTCTGCACTTAACTCGGGCTGTAGGGAGGCTGCAGGGCGGGTAATCACAGGAATCGATTCGGAGACATCAGACGCGTCCGTCTGTCGCATTCAGACGTCTGAACTCGGTCTGATACTCGAGTTGGGCTGAAAAACTATTCGTTCTCTGCAATTTTTTCCGACATTATATGTTGTCAGGAAGCTCTACGAGTCACCCGGCGGTAACCAAGGTTGACGGTTTACCGCTGGCGCCCAGTAACTCGTAGAGCTTCCCTCAGCAAGTTATTGCTGGAAGCTCAAGAGTACCTTGCAGAGCTCTCCGGCATTGATGAGCTAGAGGAATTCCGGCGCGGGATGGAGCTAGTTGGCCCAGCCGGCCGAGGCAGACAATAACTCGTAGAGCTTCCCTTAGCAAGCTATTGCTGGAAGTTTAAGAGTAATTCCGGAGCGCTGGAGAGCTAGTTGGCAAGAAAAATCTTGACGGACCCTCTGCTGACTTTTTCCCGGAGAGCTCGCTGAGAGCTAAAGGGTTGAAGATTAGAAGCCGGACGGTGGTGGTGCCTGCCAGGAGCTCCTCCACGGCGGTCCACAGTCCTCGCAGCAACTCCGGTGAACCGGAAACGTGTCCGGGAAAGCTTCGGCAGAGCTGCAGAGAGCTTCCCGAAGCTGCCCAGGAAAGATTTCCCGTCCCCAAAGGCTCTCTTCGCTCCCCGGGTTTTGGACGCTATCAAGTGGTCGATTGAAAATTTTGTTCTTGATATGTGACAATTCGTTTGAGCTCTAGTATTCTTTCCCGTGATATTCGATCTTATTCCCGCTCGCCATCTTGATCTCAGCTCGATTGGGTACCTTTTACTGCCAAAAAGCACTCCGGCGGGATCGGCCGTTTCGAGTCATCTTGATATGCGCTGTCGCTTTTTTCAAGATAAATCGAGCTTGAGGACAGCTACAGAGCTGGTAAGCACAGCTAATCCATTCAGAATGATCAGGCGTGTTCGCCTGTTGAACTGAGAGCTCTGAACTCGGTCTGCTAGCCGAGCTAGGTCCGCAACCCTATTTATATTATTCGGGTCATCGTAGCGGACACTCTCGGTTTTGTGTACTTAACTCGAGCTGTATGGCAGTTACAGAGCTGATACGTACAGAATCTGATGCAGAATTATCAGTGGCTGTTGTCTATTGAATCGAGAGCTCTGAACTCGGTCTGCTGCTCGATCTAGAATCGCGAATCTATTCGTATTCTTCGAGTCTTGAGAGATGCTGTCGGTTTTCTGCACTTAGCTCGGGCTGTAGGGGGGCTGCAAGGCTGGTGATCACTCGAATCGATTCGGAGACATCAGGTGCGTCCGGCTCTCGAATCCAGAGTTTCGAACTCATTTTTGCTGCCCGAACTAGGTCCGCGAAACGATTTGTATTGTTCGAGTCATCCTAAGAGGTAGGTTTCCTGCACTTAACTCAGGATGCAGGGGGGTTGCAGCGCTGGTAGTCACAGGAATCGATTCAGAGACTTCAGACGCGTCCGCTTGTCGCATGCAGAGGTTTAAACTCGGTCTGATTCTCGAACTAGCTCCGTCAAACTATTCGTACTTTTCGAGTCATCTTGAGAGATGCTGCCGATTTACGCACGTAACTCGGGCTGTAGGAGAGCTACAGAGCTCGTACAGAAGAGAATCCAGAAGCATCGGGGGCGTTGCATCCGATAGGTCTGAAATTGCTTGGGCTCAAGACATATTTTTTTCTGTGTAATTTGTTTCGACATTATATGTTGTCAGGAAGCTCTACGAGCCCCCCGGCGGTAAGAAAGGTTGACGGTTTTACCGCCGGCGCCCAGTGTGATAACTTTTGGGTGGGTTTGCGAAAAATTGAAAGATATTTGACCATTGATTTTGAGAAAGCAGATTTTTACGCCGAGCATTGGCATATAAACTTCTCTCTAACAACAGCTCAGCTCTCTCGATGCATTTTTGCATGAGTTGACTCCAGGAACTGAGCGAATATGAACATCGAAAAAATCGAATCTGAAGATTTTCGAAAAATCTCCATTTTTTGATTCTGTGTCGATTCTGTAACAGTAAGAGGAGCTCTACGAGGTTCCCGGCGGTGAACAGTTTGACGGTTCACCGCCGGCGCCAGTAATTTTGGCGCGCTGGAGAGCTAGTTGGCAAGAAAAATCTCGACTGACCTTTTGCTGACTTTTGGTCGGTTGAAAATTTTGTTCATCGAAATTTGAACATTCGTTAGAGCTCTAGTAGTTTTTCCCGTGATATTCGATCTCATTCCCGCTCGCCGTCTCGATCTCAGCTCGATCGGGTACCTTTTACTGCCAAAAAGCAGGCAGGCGGGATCGCCCGTTTCGGGTCATCTTGTCACGCGGTTACGGTTTGCTCAAGATAACTCGAGCTTCAGGACAGCTACAGAGCTGGTAAGCACAGCTAATCAGTTCAAAATTTTCAGGCGCGTTCGCCTGACTCGGTCTGCTAGCCGAGCTAGGTCCGCAAACCTATTCGTATTATTCGAATCATTTTCACAGACGCTCTCGATTTTCTAATAACTCGGGCTACAGGACAGCTACAGAGCTGGTACGTACAGAATCTGATCCAGAATTATCAGTGGCCGTTGTCTGTTGAATCGAGAGCTCTGAACTCGGTTTGCTGCCCGATCTAGAATCAGAAAACTATTCGTATTGTTCGAGTCATCTTGAGAGATGCTGTCGGTTCTCTGCACTTAACTCAGGCTTTAGGGGGGCTGCATGGCTGGTAATCATTGGAATCGATTCGGAGACATCAGGCGCGTCCGCCTTTTGAATCCTGATCTCCGAACTCTGTCTGCTGCCCGAATTAGGTCCGCGAAACTATTCGTATTGTTAGAGTCATCCTGAGAGGTGCTGTCGTTTTCCTGCACTTAACTCGGGCTGTAGGGGGGCTGCAGGGCTGGTAATCACAGGAATCGATTCAGAGACATCAGGCGCATCTGCC